GATTACAGATGTGAGCCACCACACCAGCCTCTTTTTGTTTCTTTTTCCGGGGGGACGAGAAGGGCCAAATTTTAAAATGGTTGTATATTAGAAAAGAGTGTTACATTAATGTTAAAATCCCGAATTTGAGAACAGTATTGTGATTCTGTAAAACAATGTCTTTGTCCTTAGGAAAGACACACTTTTTAGAGGCAAAGGGGCATGTGGTCTGTCATTAATCTCAATGGATAAGAACATACATGTTATTAATTATTAATTTTTTTAGATGGAGTCTTGTCCTGTCACCCCAGCTGGAGTGCAATGGCATCATCTCAGCTCATTGCAACCTCTGCCTCCTGGGTTCAAGCGATTCTCCCACTTCAGTCTCCTGAGTAGCTGGGATTGCAGGCATGAGCTACCATGCCCAGATAATTTTTGTATTTTTAGTAGAGACAGGGCTTCACCATGTTGGCCAGGCTGGTCTTGAACTCCTGACCTGAGGTGATTTGCCCGCCTTGGCCTCCCAAAGTGCTGGGATTACAGGCGTGAGCCACCGTGCCCAGCCATATTAATTTATATGTCTAGAGAGAGTGAGTGATAGACCAAATGTGACATAACGTAATCAGTTGATGAATCTGGATGAAGGGAACACAGCAGTGTTTGCACTATTCTTGCAACTCTATCATAAATTTTAAATTATTTCTGAATAAAAACTTTGTTGTTTTTTTTTTTGAGACGGAGTCTCGCTCTGTCGCCCAGGCTGGAGTGCAGTGGCCGGATCTCAGCTCACTGCAAGCTCCACCTCCCGGGTTTACGCCATTCTCCTGCCTCAGCCTCCCGAGTAGCTGGGACTACAGGCGCCCGCCACCTCGACCAGCTAAGTATTTTTTAGTAGAGACGGGGTTTCACCGTGTCAGCCAGGATGGTCTCGATCTCCTGACCTCGTGATCCGCCCGTCTCGGCCTCCCAAAGTGCTGGGATTACAGGCTTGAGCCACCGCGCTCGGCCTAAAACTTTGTTTTGAAAATCTAAGTTAGACCTAGACTATTTGCGAAGGCAGCTTCTAATTTTGGCAGGAGCTAAAAGCATGGAGATGAAGAGGAAATTAAATCTTGATACAATAAAGTTACTTTTTGGGGGGAGACAGGGTCTCACTTGCCCAGGCTGGAGTGCAACAGCTTGATGACGGCTCACTGCAACCTCTGCCTCCTGGGCTCAAGGGATCCTTCCACCACAGCCTCTCCAGTAGCTGTAACCACAGTTGTACATCACCACGTCCGGCTAAATTTTGCATTTTTTGTGGAGATGGGGTTTCACCATGTTGCCCAGGCTGGTCTTGAACTCCTGGGCTCAAGTGATCTGTCTGCCTCAGCCTCCCAAAGTGCTGAGATTACAGGTGTGAGCTACTGCGCCTAGCCTAAAGTTACTTTTTTTTTTTTTTTTGAGACCGAGTTTCACTCTTGTTGCCCCGGCTGGAGTACAATGGCACAATCTTGGCTCACTGAAACCTCGGCCTCCCAGGTTCAAGTGATTCTCCTGCCTCAGCCTCCCAAGTAGCTGGGATTACAGGCATGCACCACCATGCCTGGCTATTTTTGTGTTTTTAGTAGAGACAGGGTTCTCCATGTTGGTCAGGCTCGTCCTGACCTCACGTGATCTGCCCGCCTCGGCCTCCCAAAGTGCTGGGATTACAGGTGTGAGCCACCGCTCCCACCCTAAAGTTACTTTTATTTAAATATCTTTATTGGCTGGGTGGTGGTGCGTGCCTGTAATTCTAGCATGTGGGAAGGCCAAGGTGGGAGGATCACTTGAGGCAAGGAGTTCATAACCAGCCTAGACAACATAATGAGACCCTGTCTTTACCAAAAAAATTTTTAATTAGCCAGAAGTGGTGGTGCACACCTACATAAATAAATAAATAAATATATATATATATAAAAAATTACTGCCCTGGTATTTCTTTCAGGTTTTTTTTTTTTTTTGAGACAGAGTTTCATTCTTGTTGCCCAGGCTGGACTGCAATGGTGTGATCTTGGCTCACTGCAACCTCCGCCTCCCGGGTTCAAGCAATTCTCCTGCCTCAGCCTCCCGAGTAGCTGGGATTACAGGTGTCTGCCACAATGCCCTGCTAATTTTTCATATTTTTAGTAGAGATGGGGTTTCATCATGTTGGCCTTGAACTCCTGACCTCAGGTGATCCACCCACCTCAGCCTCCCAAAGTGCTGGGATTACAGGCGTCAGCCACCGTGCTCCCCAGCCTTCTTTCAGTTTCCAGGAATGCTGTAGAGCTTCGTCCTGTTCACCTCATGGAGCTGATGAGCTGGGAGAATTCAAGGGAGGTGATGGAAGGGGAGAAGGTAAGTCCCCAAGTGACCCCGTTGAAAACCGGGGCCTGGGCCAGGCACAGTGGCTCACTCCTGTAATCCCAGCACTTTGGGAGGCTGAGGCGGGAGGATCGCTTGAGGTCAGGAGTTTGAGACCAGCCAGACCAACATGGTGAAACCTCATCTCTACGAAAAATTAGCCAGGTGTGGTGGTACACACCTGTAGTCCCAGCTACTTGGGAGGTTGAGGCAGGAAAATAGCTTGAATCCGGGAGGCAGAGGTTGCAGTGAGCGGAGATTGTACCATACCACTGCATTCCGCCTGGGCGAGAGAGCAAGACTCTGTCTTGAAAAAAAAAAAAAAAAGCTGAATTTCAAACAACTTTTGACTATCAGTGCTGTAAAGCTGAATCCCAGAGATAACTGAGACAGCAGCAGGAGGATCTATGGTCCAGCCTCCCTCTGGCCGTATAATTCTCTTCCTGATTGAGTTACTTACATTCTTCCAGATGGTGTTTGCTTCTCCTCCCAACTCGCCTGAAAACTTCTAGGGAGAAGGGCCAGCCTTTGGGGTTGTGTTCCTGTGTGATCTATCCCTAGGAGATTCTGCACACCCAGTTCTGCCCACCTGCAGCCAGCGTCCAGGACTCCACAACACTACCCACAATAAATACCTCGGTCTCAGTCTTGTTGCAGAAAGTGGCCAGTGTGGTGGACATAGTGCAGAGGTTTAGGTTCTGACCAACCTGGGACAGCAATTTATGGGCTAGGTGACATCCTTGAGCAACTGTATGACCTCAGGCCTGTCATATGGTCTCTGAGCCTCAGGTTTTTCTTCTGTAAAATGGGAGTGATAAAACCAACTTCTCTGACAGGTCTGGTGGCTCACACCTGTAATGCCGGCACTTTGGGAGGCTGAGGCAGGTGGATCGCTTGAGCTCAGGAGTTGGAGGCCAGCCTGGGCAACATGTCAAGACCCTGTCTCTACAAAAATTACAAAAAATTGGCTGAGTGTGGTGGTGTGCACCTGTGGTCCAAGCTACTCGGCAGGCTAAGGTGAGAGGATCGTTTGAGCCCTGGAGTTGGAAGTTGCAGTGAGCCGAAGTCACCGCACTGCACTGTAGCCTGGGTGACAGAGTAAGACCCCATCTTAAATAAATAAATAAAGTACTTTGTGTAAACATTTGTAACTGTAATTCATTGAATGTGATACATGTATCTACAAAGAAACATAAATAGTTGTCAATTAAATTATGACACATCATCATCAACTGGAACTAGAACTGAAGTCACATACTGACCTTAGAAATGTGAAACAAATTTCGGGCATGGTGGCACTTTGGGAGGCCGAGGTGGGCAGATCACCTGCGGTCAGGAGTTTGAGACCAGCCTGGCCAACAGGGGTTAAAAATACAAAAATTAGCCGGGCATGGTGGTACACGCCTGTAGTCCCAGCTACTCAGGAGGCTGAGGCAGGAGAATCCCTTGAACCGGGGAGGTGGAGGTTGCAGTGACCTGAGATTGTGCCACTGCACTCCAGCTTGGGCAACAGAGGGAGTCTGAAAAAAAAAAAGGGAAAGGGAAAGGGAAAGGGAAGAGGAAAAGGGGAGGGGAGGGAAGGGAAGGGAAAGAGAAAAGAAAA